TCAAATAATTCTGTTTTTATAAATATACCCCTCCCCTATGTGACATTTAGTGGCATTTTAAAGAACCCCCTCCTCCCTGTGTGACATGATAAAAACAAAAACAAAAAATTTTTATATGTGTTTATTTTAATTGTAATAGTCTACTTATTTTTTAAAAATACAATTGAAAAATATCTGTCTAAAATCTAAAATTGTTCCCAAATCGGACTTTGACCTTCAAGTATTCAAGTAATTAGAGATCCTTGTTCTTCAATAACTTTTGAAGGCCAGTTGAGGTCAGAGGTATCAACATTGTCTAATTTTTTGAATTTTATTCAAATATTCAATACTTGAGCAAATTGTTTTGTGTTATTTCATTGGTTTGTTTGATTGGTTTGATGTTGTTTTATTGGTTTGATAAATTGTTTTGTGTTGTTTCATTGGTTTGATAAATTGTTTTGTGTTGTTTCATTGGTTTGATAGTAGCAAAATATAAACTACAATTGATGCAAATTTTTGGTAAGAAATTTTGAATGCTTGGACATGAGTTGTCGTATGGCAATCCACTGGGATACTTTTCTATAACTGTTTTGGGCAAAATTATTTTGCAAATTGATAAGTTTAAAAAGAAAAATTCAAAGTTGTTTTTTGTATTATTGCATTCAAGACCATCTTCTCCTTAAAACAAAAAAATCGGTGATGGAAGAAAACCAGTTGGAATAAGATGAAACAGTGAGCTGAGACGATGACCACAGCAGTTTTTATCATTACATTTTACAAGAAAGTATTAACTTTCTTTGACATGCTTCGCATCTCACTCTGCTCCAAAATGTTTTAAGTGTACACATTTTTCATTGTTTGGTTTTATGTACTCGGCTTTAGTTTTAAATTCATCAATGTCTGTGCTAGACCAAATTTGTGCAAGAACTTCACCTGCATTGGCAAAAATTGCCTTCTCCAAAATTTTGTCTGTTGTTTCTCCTCTTGAATTAAGATGGCTTCCAAAATAATCAAATGGAAGCGTAATTTCTGCTAGGTCACGGTTTAGAGGAGCCATTCTTCTCTTTACTCTGTTAAAGGCACTTCTGGCAGTAGTATTAGTGGTCACAAACGTTTCATCAAGGTCATGCTCTTTTAAAGTCTTGAGACAATGAATTGTTTTTTCATATCAAGTAATTTTCTTATGGCGTAAATTTAGTTAAATCTCTTCCAATCATTTGAAGTGAACGTGTAAAAAAACTAATTTAATTTTTTTATTTTCATTTGTTATGACTCCGTTAAATAATAAACGCTAGTCACATGTAAAGTTGTTGCATATCATTTTTCTTGAAAATTTCCGTATTATATATAAATATCTCCAAGTTTGTAATTTTATTAAATAACGCAATGATAAAAAGTTGAATTTAAAATGTTATGTGTCAAGTCACACTGTAGCAAACTACCCCCTCCCCCATGTGATATTTGGTGACACTTTCCAATACTCCCTCTCCTTCTTTCCCTTAGACTGTCACGTATTATTTGAACAGCATCTCAATAATACAAATGTAAAAAGAGAAACTTTCATAAACTTTTTAGGTATGGTCTTGCTCGAAAATTTGTCGTGGAAGCTCAATATGAGCACTTTAAAGAGAAAGCTCTCAAGAAATATGTAATTAATGCATAAAGCAAAACCTTTCCTAAATATTAGAGTAAGTTGGCGAATTTCGGGCAGCATCGAATTTCGTGCAAACAGCCTTTTGCGTCAAAAAAATCATACTGACGCTAATTTAATCAAAATGTTGTTTCACGTTTCAGTTAGTATAACCTTTCCGCATCAAGTTACTGCTAACCTCATGTCGGTAGTCGAAATATTTATATTAAAAAAGCTATAATAAGTTACAATTCATCGGTTTTTCACGTAAAGTGAAAAAACGTAAATCTTTTTACAAAAATGAAGCACCACATTTCTTTGAAAGAAGTGCTAATCGTTCACCCGAGTTTAACAAATATGTTTGGAAAAGTAAAAAAAAAAAAAAATAATAATAATAAACAAATACTTTTTTGATGTAAAAAATTTCTGCACGAATTATCGAAAGCATTGTATTTCGTGCATTATGCTCGAATTTTAATATACACAGTATTAAGTTTCGTGCATTATTTTATTTTTACCTAACAATGATTTTGAATGCTTTTATGGTTTTAACTATCTTTAAAAGTATTTTTAAGGTTGCTTGTGACGTTTTTAAGACAAAACAAAAAAGTTAAAGCAAAGCTGCGAAATCATCCACATGGTTGGATTTCTTTTAATTAAGCAATATTTGAATTCAAATTTCAACTTTTTATAAATACAGTATCATCATAGTAGAATATACAAGTTATAATTTTTTAATCAAGTTTGTTATCGTGGACTCTAAGAAAAAACAGAAGTACCAAAAATATTACGAGGAAGCTGTTATGGCTGCTGTAGCTGATGTTCGAGACAATCATTTTTCATGGAGAAAGGCAAGTTTAAAATATAGTTAAAATTTAAGTACCTTCTTAGACAATCGGTGATAGAACAAATGGCAGATACGGTTCTGCCAAGCAAAAGATAGGTTAGTTTTGTTTAAAATATTTATTTACTATGCTAGATGTAATTCTGAATAAGCAATAAAATTGCATAAGATTTTTTCAAAAATAACATATTTTTTTTACTTAAAGGTCGCAAACCTGCTTTAGAAAAAGAGGACAAAGAAAGAATAAAAGACGTTTTGATTAAAGCTGCAAAAATAGAATATGGTATTTTCCAAAACGATGTACCAAGCATAGTAAAAAATTATTTAGACATTAAAGAAAAGTAACATATAACAGAGTATCGACTTACCCATAAAGAAAAAAACAATATTTTAGCTCAAAGAAAGTTTGTGAATAATCTGCCAAGCAAGTTTTGGATCTACATGTAAATAATTGCTACTCTATTAAGTGTTTTGAATATATAATAAAGAAATAACACAAAATTTTAGATTTTGATTAGCCTATGATTGTTTTGTATCTGCTTAATCTGTGTTTAATTTGATAAACCTGGTTATTTTTACTTTATATTTGGTAGGTTTTTCAAAAAGTATTCAGATCTTGCAAGAAGAATGCCCGGAAATTTGGGCCACCAGCGACGAAACGTTTTTCATGCTAAATCAGGCAATGGTTACTGACCTGAAGAATTATTTGTTTGAAGAACACCAAGTAAATGCTTCAGAGTTCTTATTACCAGAAAACTCAAGTAGAATATTTAATTTAGACGAAGTAGGGATTCCATTAGCAGGGACATTGGGAAGGCTAAAAATAATTGCATCAAAGGGTATAAAGAATTTTTATCGCATAGCCCCTGACACAAAAACGCAAATAACAATTCTTGGCTGTGTATCCGGAGATGGAAACTACCAAAAATCTCTAGTTATATTTCCAGGAGTACAGCCTCGTTACAATTTAGACCATGTAAATCCATCTGAATATGTTCTTCAATTTAAACCATGTAAATCCATCTGACTAAGTTCAATTCTTAATTGTTTTTTATTTTATTGGTTTACAAAAACTTCTAAGTATTTTTTAGTTTTCTTTTAAGCATTAACTTTAAGCTCAGCGATCGTGCCTATAAACAGGCTTGATCACTAGGCCAAATAAGTAGCCGCGGGCCCCACGTTATGTTCTAACAAATAATCCAACTCTAAGTCAGACATTTAATCACTAGCAAAATATTTGCAAAGAACTATATATGAATTAAGTATTGCATTTTGAATAAATCTACTAATTTAACTTATAAAAAAAAAGTGCACAAAATTAAATTTTACTTCGTCAACTTGCACGAAATTGTGCAAATCATCAAAAAAAAAGTTTATAACGAAAAAGATAAATAAATAAAATATAGTGTTTAATTATTCCCTAAATTATTATTATTTTGTAGATAAAACAGTTGGCTGCCTAAATTGAGCTCATAATACTTTTGGTGGCCGTTTGGTTATATTTTATAATGTTTACGGCTAATTTTCAGCAAACTGCCCGAAATTATATCATTAAAAGGTTTATATTTTTTATTGATACATAGTCACCTATGCTATGGTAAAATGGCCTCCCCAAGCACAAATAATACGAAGCTTAAAAAACTGTAAAGAAAAATATGGTTGTAGAGTTGCTTTTAGAGTAATCTTGTTTTAGCACAAAATGAAATATGGATATCCACCGATACTTCAACCCTATTTCAGCGAAATAAGTCATAAATATTCAAATTTTCATATAACAATTTTGTCATCCCAAAATTCACGTTAAAGTTAAATTCATACTCAGTCCAACACCGTGGACCTTATATGTAGAAATTTTCCCCCTAGACTTTTACTATCAAGAGAAATACACTTGAATAATTTGAATTAAAACGTTTTTTTATTACATACGGACTTAAATTTTCTTTTTAGTAAAATAATACAAACTTGTACAATTTATTTCTTTTATTTGCTTTAACTTTTACTTGTTCTAAATTTATTTTTCAAAAAGAATTATTAACAGTTATATAAATTATGAAACGTAGTTTTACTCATTTTATATATATTTTTTTAGTATTGATTACGATTTTATATATTAAAAGTAAGTATTGATTACGATTTTATATATTTCATTTTAAAAAACGACCTGTAATAAAGCCATTATGGGGCTCGGTGATAAGACAAACTGATATCTTCTTCTTGCTCCAAACATTTGTTTTATTATTTATGTTATTTTATCAATTATAACTTTTTTATGGCAAAATTAAAACAATATATATATATATATATATATATATATATATATATATATATATATATATATATATATATATATATATATATATATATATATATATATATATATATATATAAAACCAGGTAACATGCGTTGCCATGTGTTAAAACTTTTTGCAATTTTTTATAAAAGTACAAAAATATCTTTACTATAACTATAAACTTGTTTTATATTGTAACTTATTTGTTTTTAAAATTAAAAATGCCAAAAAAATGAATTAGAATTTTAAATTATACCTATCCCTAAATTAAAGTCTTCAAATATATTAAGCCCCATTGAAGGTATGATTCCTTCGCCGTCCGGTAACATTTCCCAAATTTTATACCCTTGATAATCAACGATAATCAAGTCGTTAAAAGTACTACTGTGGTTCTCCATGTCTGACATTGTTAAACATCCCCCATTTTCTTGTACAGTAGTAACAACAGCTTGCGCAACTCTTCCCTTATAGAATGCTTCCTTACCGGTTTTCGCCAGCTCCTATAAAATTATAATAATTTGTTAATATACGAAGTTTTCTAAAAAGTTGTGCAAACAATTAAAAAAAAATAGCAAAAACATAAACATAATTATAAACGGTA